ACATTTGAAGTAGTCACCTGAAATATAGCTTTGAACTGCTTGTTGTTGGACACCAGGTAGTCTCCCCTGCGGAGCTCATCATTTTTGGACAAGAAGTTTCTGCTCATGATTCTAAAAGGAGAGAATATAGATGAGCTTGTATCCACAATATGCATTTAAAAGCATCAGGAATGTGTGAATCCATCAGTCAGTAGAGATGCGTGGAATACTTACAGGTTTTAATATTTCACACCATATTTCACATCTGTCTGCAAGCAGAAGAGAAGGGAAGTATTAAAATTGAAAGCACATCACTCCATCTTTATATCATCTTGATTGGGGGTGGAGCGACAGTCACTGCCCTTTACAGTAAAGGGATGGCATTTCCTGAGAAGTGCTTTTTGTTTCTCTTTTTAATATCTGATCGTATCTGGCATCTTTTCCGAACAGAATTGTGATCTGAATGCGCTGTGGTGCCAAACACATTTTGCATTTGCAAGAACAGGATCAGAATCAGAATACTTTAATAATCCCTGAGGGAAATTATACAGCCTCTGTATCTGGACTTTTTGGCATGGGCTGCTCCCTTGGTCCTTGGTGGCTTGGACCATGTGAGTGGCTCTTGAGCTAAGAACAGGAGCCTTTTCACAGACTCTCACCCTTTGGCCGTGGGCGCTCCATCTGGTGTCTGCCTCATCTTCCTGATGGGATGAATGTGTCACATGTTTTAACTTTGCATGTGTTGCTGTGCTTTGTGTTTGTTTTTCTTGTTGAGTGTTTTTATACTTGCACTGATTGCATGTTTTTTAGTGTGTATATTTGTTAACGTGTGCCGGAGAGACTCCGCCCAGTTCTGATTGCTCAATGGACACACCTGGGAGGTCACAGGGGCCAATAAGAGGGCCTGGCAGAACAGAGTCAGGGGGAATATAGATGTACAGATACCACTGTCAAAATCTGAAGGGAAAAGTATAGTTTGGACAGAAAGTAAGAACTTCTGGCAAATGGCATGGGATACTGACACAAAAGGGAGACATTTATATAGGGTTCAAAACACAATAGAAGCTGAGAGGAGTAGCGGTTTAAAGAGACAGGAGGAGGTTATTATCAGTAGAATACGAACAGGCCACTGCTTTTTAAATGGTGCTCTTTTTAAGATAGGGAAACATCCGAACGGGTTGTGTGATGGGTGCAATGCTATGGAGATGGTTGAGCATGTGCTTCTTAGTTGTAGGAAGTATGCAAGTCACAGGAGGGTGATGAGGGGTGAAATGAGTGGTGGAAGGGAACTTACGTTTGAACAAGTGGTTGATAAGTTAAGTCATGGTGAAGGGAAAGGGGTGGTTCTTTGTTTTTTGAGGAATTCTGGTCTCATTCAGAGAATCTGAGGACTCAGGAGTGACGGAAGATTAAGATAAGATAAGATAACCTTTATTAGTCCCACACGTGGGAAATTTGTTTTGTCACAGCAGGAAGTGGACAGTGCAAAAGTTATGAGGAAAAAAAGGCAGGAGATGGCAGTAATGCAACAATTTTGGATGCAAGCTGCCGTTAAACTTGAAAGAAGAAGAAGAAGAGTCAGGGGGAAGTGAAATGGAGTGGTAGCCAGTGGCAGGTGGCTGTCGCAGAGGGCAGCACGGAAGCCTGAATACAGCACCCTGGACATTCTAGGAGAGTGATGCTCGATTGGCGGATGCAGGCAGGTTTTTGGGATGAGACAGAGACGAGCGGAACCAGAGGATATTCTGTCAGCGGCTAGACCCGAGGACAGAGAGACACACAATCGAGTGATGAGCAGAGAGGTGACGGCCGGACGCCTGGTTCAGGAGACCTGATATGTGCTTGAACCTAAGGCAGCGGCGGCCGAAGTTCGGAGCTCAGTCTCGCCCAGCTAAGGATTATAAGGTGCTTTGGGTAATTAAAGAAGAGTGACTGCCGTGTTCCTCCTGTTCCTTAGTGGCTGCCAGAACGAAGTGGTGGAGGTTGGACGTCTGGAGGGCGCCGCCGGCTTCACACCTCTTTAATAGATTATTCCAACATGTTCTCACTCCAAAAGAGTAACATTTTACGCTAGGAGACAAATCATTGATATATTTTGCTTCCAGGCACCCAACAAGTGCCTAGATTACTAGATTCAAGATTCAAGAAAACTTTATTTGTCACATGCAAGTTGCCCTGCAGTGAAATGGGACCCCCCCCCGACCTTACATACACAACACAGACATCACATGGGGAGACAGGTCGGAGATCGGTAGTATTATGGAAAAACACTGAAATGTACACTACAATGGGAAAGTCCAAGAGGGAAAAAAGAGACCTCTACTCATGCTGGGCTCCTGGGAGGACAGCATGAGAACAGGAAACAAAAACACTCCTCTACACAGAAAGCACATAAATGTCCACAGCACAACATTATGGAGCACGTGACAAGCAACAGGGGTGAGGAGTAATCCGAAGCAAACACAGCAGCCATCTTGTATACACGATTGTTACGATAAAACCATTTTAACCATCGTACACGGAAAAACTTGCATTACATCCAGAGATTACCAGGTAAGTAGGTATGGATAGGAGAGCAAGGAGGCAACACTGTCAAATTACTAATTTATCCCTATTCTGTGGGCATTTACTGAAAGTTTAAGAACAAGGAGGACAAAAGTAAACAAACAAACAAAAAAAATCAGCCAATGCAACTTAGCATTCAAAATAAACTCCTGGATTCTGGATTAGACCAATTAAAGCACTTTGACTTTAGCTTTACCTTTTTGTCCAGATGTTTACCGAGTCTGTCCAATGCCTGAGACTCTCCTCCATGCCACACAGCCAGAGGTAAACCATCTGTCCTGAAACCTGGGCACATCAAAATAAGTTCAAATACAGATCAATGTGTTAACTTTAGATTCAATAAATAAGGAAAGTAGAGTTGTGTAGTTTGCAAACCATTAATTATTTTTCTTAAAATCAGATTAAAAACATAAATGTTATAGAAAAACTTTACGTGAAAAGATAAATTATGCGTACCTAATTCTTCTAAAGAAGGGATACTGTATAGCTGGTCATGGTTGTCTTCTATTTTGGTGTGACATTTGTCCATTTGTTGCTGAGTGATGGGAGGCAGAGGTCTCCTAGGCAACTCCAGTCTGCTCACAATAGTCTGAAAACGCTTAAACGTCAGAGGAGGACTGTTGTTGTTCATCTCTATTATCCTGTAGCAAAACAGAAAAGGAAGAAAATTTGAGTAACACACAGCAACATATCTGTATCAGTTTACCAGTGGCCTCTCTGGGAGAGAAGTCTGGGAAATACAGTGTGCCGGCAATATGTAAAGGGGCTCCACACGGCGTGACAACACTCTATGCTCAGCCTTTGAACAAGTGATTAAAAGCAATGGTCAATTGGTGCGCCCTGATGTAACACTGACATTACCACATTTTTTAATGATTAGGGACAGACTGTATTAAGTGAGTTGCCAGATGTTGGTACCAAAAAGCCATCAGGAAATTATTTTCCAGGTGAACCACACGGTGATATTAACCAAGGAAAACACTGAGTAATGTTACAACAGTTAATAAATAAAACTATTAATGAACTGTTCTTAAGATGTAAGTTTGCAAGAGCATCTGTGTTTAATCAGCTAGCTGATTAATTTCACATATTTGTTATAGGATTAGTCAGTCACTTGAGTTCAGTTTGACTGAGCATGTGATTCACTTCCTGAATACAAAACTGAGGAAGGTATTCAAGTATCAACCAAAGACAGCAGAAGCTAAATCTAGGCCATCACCTCAAGGCAGGAAACCCAGTCATCAGTTTCAGTATTAAAGGTGCAGGTCGACACTTTAATTCACAACTGCTTAATTTTAAAGCCACTGTTGTTGTTGTATGAGGTCAAAATTGTCATTTTCCAAATGGGCTTGACTATACGTAACTGAGAATTGGATTAACAAGTTAAAACAACAAACAAACAAAAGGAAAATGATACCTGAGTCCATAAGCTTGCTATCAAATACTGGTTACAGCAGACTATGAAGACTTATTCATTACCTTTTGTTAAGGTAAAAGAATTACTTTTTAAAATTACTTCTCAAACACTTGTCAATAAAGAGCTCCTGTCGTTATACAAGAATGGACTGCTGATACAGGAAGGAAGAGACTAAATGGAGTTGTATAATACCTGCGTTTGTGGTGGGAATACCACTAGAAATCGACTAATTGTGTGGAAAACACAAACCTATCTAGGTTGTAGAGGGTATGAGAGTTTCTGACAATGGTCTCCACTCCAAATTCTTGGGCCAACTTAATGATTGCGCCATCCCTCTCTTTCCCGTAAGGCTCTGGGTCATATTCAAAGGTCAGCCTGGTCACGTTCCACTCCTGCAGCAAAGAATAAAAGAATTCGAAAGAAGGATGTTAAATAGTAACAATGATCAAAGAACTAATTAAATCTTTGGCTTTAACAGTTTGTAAGTCTTGTATAGATCTACCATGTGCCTACTTATAACCCAGACCACCAAGTCAAACTGTTGTATTCAAGTTGTGCATTCAAGCTTCGGTTTACAATGCCAAACTGGATTGTTCCAAATGGGTCAGTTTGAACAGAAATAAGAAGTAAAGAAAATGAAATGTATTTGACAGCCACTTCATCTGTTGTGTTTCCTGTTCACACTGATGGTAGCAGATGATAGCAGCAAAACACATGGCAGGCTTAAAAGAAACAATGGGCCAGAGAATTGGTTTGTTATAAGGTAGCATAAAATGTTACCTTATAACTAGATAAATGGTTAACAGAGAGCTAAATTGATTGTAATGCATTAGCTAAAAGCATTGAAAACATAGATAAAAGGTTTGGTTTTTGTATGCAAATGATAGACGTATGAATGTGAACTTGTTCAGTTCTAGATCTTTAATCTAGTTTTAGATGCAGAAAAATATTAGAACAGCAATTTCAGTGAGAAAAATGTAAAAATAAATATATCCCACATGCAAATTCTGCATCTGTACTATCTGAACATTCTTTGCAGATGAGGAATAACAGAGGAGAAGCAACTGACAGGAATACAGACCTTGAAAAGCCTGGGGAACACATCTGTAGGCTGGCCTCTGACTACAAAAAGCCTGGAATTGAGCTTCTTGAGACTGCTGTCCAGGTCCTCCAGAGCTTCCAAGAGAAACCTGCACAGACATAAACATGAACATAAACTCTCTTATGGGGCGTTTCCAGTTTGCAGTGATCAGCACCTATGGTTCGTATCTATGAAAAGGGGTCCAAGGAAAGAACAGCGATGAACCAGTAAAAAAGGTGGCCGAGGCTCATTGTGCAGGTAGAGAGTGAAGGTTGTCTCTTGTGATTGTGGTCTTTATTTACAAAGTCAAGAAAGCAATGTTTTTCTTAAACATAAAAGAAAGATTTCCAGTCTCTTTTTCAGAGTGAGGAATGCAGCTTATTCAGTCGGGCTGCAACTATTCATTCAATTTGAATTTGAAATTAAATAACATGACAAAAAACCCTGAGCAATTTTTTTGGGTCAATGCTTTACTTAAAATCTTTAATGCTCAGTCATCATCATGTGATGCTGCAGCTTCAATCCAGCACTGTTTGTTTTACAGCAAGGAAATCTACAGTAAGCCTAAAATATACAAACCACAGCTGTAGCTGCTTATCTGTTCAGGCAACAGAAACTGTGCGTAGTAGGCAACTCCGACCGTTTTGTCCCAGCAGGTAAGGGGACTTGGTTGCCCCATTTACTACATCAGCCGGAGACTGTCTGAGAGAGGTCAGATACAGTACAGTGGAGAGAAAGTGTCTGGTAATCCAGTGAGTGGTAGACTCCCTTTTTTTATTACCTCCTGAGACGCCCGTTCACCCTGTGCTCAGACCATGCGCCGCTGCAGTGGGACGTACTGATATCTGGCCCTAGAGACATTTAAGTTCAAGGTGGACGATAGGCTGGGGGTTTAGTCACATGGGAGGGGCTGAGAGTAGAGGCGCTACTCCTCCACATTGAAATGAGCCAGCTAAGGAGTTGTAGCTGATAATGTCCTACTGAGAGGAGGTCCTGATGTAGACCCAGGACACACCGGAGAGATTACTTACTATTGGCTGGGCAGGGAAAGGCTCGAGGTTTCCCCCAATTGTTCAATTATTTTAGGTTTTAACTTTTGTTAAAGTAGCTGTCAATCAGCTTTGAACAGTGTGGATCATTCATAATCCACAGCACAACGTGCCACACATTTCAGTCGCAGCTTTTTAGTTTTTTGGATGTTAATTTGTCATATTATATTAAAACGTGAACATCTTTTATAGTAAGAGATTTTTTTAAAATATCATGATTAAGATCAGTTTATTTTAAGTGTTTGTCTTCTTGTCTGTTTGGAGTTAGGGCTGGGTGATATGAGGAAAATCTAATTTTGCAATTTTTTGTGGGCTATATAATGATACATATCGCGATACGTTTCAATAGCATCCTAAAAAAAGTTTTTTTTTTTTTTCAATCATATAGTGCCTAAAATTGCACTGGTATACTCATTCAAATCGACCATTCAATATTTGCACACAGATGTTTTTCACAAATGACAATACTGCCACAGAAAGTCTCTTTCAGTGGTCAACACTAAACCTTTACCAAACAAAATATCATAACAACAACAAAAAGAAAAACTACATCAAGCAAAAATACACAAGATAAAAATTAAATGACCTTAAAAAGGTACTCTTGTGCTAATAACATGTAAAAACCATAAAATAAAAATGTGCTGACCTCAAATTACAGAAACATTCAGAAACAACAGTGGCAGATATCAGAGCTGGTTTATTTAACGTTTTCTTTGCTGTGTGGGGAGACGCTGAAATGCCGCGTTTAAAACAGGCTTCATTTTGCAGTGGATGACTTTTCAGCTTGTTGGATGAATTAGTGTTACTGCTACTTTTTGCAGCCATGGTCTTTAAGGTATGTTTTGGTAATTATCACATTTTGTTCAACATCCTCCTAGTGAAATCCAAACGACAGCAAGTGTCATTCTCTCACTTATCTGAAACTCCTGCTGTCGCCATATTTTTCCCTATCTGGTAGTATATAAACAGACATGCTCAGCACAGCGTGCCGGGTAGAAGATTTTCCGGTTGGGAGGCCGGGGGTTAATGTTGCATTCGCAGTGTGTGGGATGGTAAATGGTTAATGGACTGATTCTTTTCAAACTACTTTTCTACAACATGCCCCATTCACCCAATCACAAAAGCACTTTCTTTCTATACTTAGTACTTCCTAACTTCATTCATACACATTCAGATTCCGATGGATGCATCGGAGAGCAACTTGGGGTTAGTATCTTGCCCAAGGATACTTGGCATGCAGACTGGAGGAGCCTAGGATTGAACCACTAACCTGCCGATCAGTAGGGGACCTGCTCTAAACGATGCGAGGTGCTGCATGATTCATTACTGAAGAATGGGATTAATGGGTTCAAATATCTTTGTTGTTGGTTTTGACACTGTTCATTAAACAGTTCTCAAATTTAACGTAATATCTGAGTGTTTCTTAGTTTTAGACAAGTCGGTTATTCAATTTTTTTTCCTCTAAACTTTTTTTTTAGTAGACTGGGAAATTAGCTGTAAGTATTGATGATTCTTAATAATTACATATTAACATGTATAGCATTATAACTTGCTGTTTTCAGCAGCACAAATTTTTGCATCAACACAAAAGGCAAACTTCTAAATGCTGATTTTGTTGCTTTTGTTTATTGCAGCCACAACATACTCCTTTAAAGGCTTACAGACACAAAATATACACTAATTGACTTAAACACACACACACACACACACACACACAAAAACCACATACATATAAACAGACACAAAATCTAGCTCATCCAGGTGATATAATAATGTCAGAATGATTTTTGCCTTCTATTAATGTAAGAAAGCCTAATAAAGCCAAATTTAATTTATACCTTGATCTAGATTGCGTGTGTACCTTATTTTATTTGACTGACCTTTGACTGTACCTGAGATTGTTTTACTTTTTGCATATAAGAAATTTATGCAGTTAAACTTAAATACCTTGTAAACTCTATATTCCAATCCAATGAGCAGTTCTTTTTAAAAGACCTGTGGGGTTTTTTGTCTTTTACCTTTTAATATTTATCAAATACTCAAGTAACCAAGTAATAAGTGATACAATAGACAGATTACTAAACATAATCCATAGCTCCAGCACTACTATTGAGTGAACACAGTACTTTGTATTACCAAATACCCATATCCAAGCCACTAGTATATTATAACTAGAAAAAATTAAATTGATGAATATGCAACAACCTTAATATTATTAAATATATAGAATTTTAAAATACACTTTATAGTGGTATAAATTTTAACATAACGTATCAAACCGTTGCGCTTGAGAAGCACTGACATTTGAGGAATTTTGGATAAATGTGTTTATATATTGCCTGTAGTATACCTGTAGTAAACAGAAAGTGCAGCGTTCTCTTCTGAAACGTGGTGGAGTGTTGACGTTTATGCAGTTATTTCAGCTATGTCATGTTGGAGCGTCATTATCAATTAATTTACTATAGCAACCTCTATGTTTCCTTGGCAGACGTGACAATAAATTATTTTGTAATAATTTTCGCATAGCTACTCACTATCGAAATTGACTTCAACTCCCATAGTGCACCTCTCTCCGCTTGCTTGATTAACGGGCTTTGCCATTTCATGCGAACCTTTCTTTTACTCATGTTAAATGGACATCGTTGTCTCCATAGTTTCTGTACCAAACTGTTGTAAGTTAACTTGGTTAGCAGAAGCCTTTCAGACACCATCAAGAATTAGCTCCAATGTTTTTTAAATGTAATTTTGAGTGTAAGCCGAACAAGAATGTACAGTATTTAATTTACGTTAAACACTTCGCCTTTTAAGTGGACATACTTGGCTGATATGCGACGATAAGTTCAAGTTATGTATTTCTTCAATGGCGCTTAGCATTAATCGGGTTGCATTCTATGCTAGCATTAGCTAAATGACGTGGAGCAGAGGCCCAAGAGTAATGGATCGTGTAAATATTGACCTAGTAACTGCTCTTCCTGTATTTCACTGGGTTAAGTTAGCCTTTAATAACCCCAAACTGTCACAATATGAAGTCACAAACCTCCATCGGTTGATTCCCACGTTAGCAGCTCCAGCAAAAAAGGGGTCTAGAATATAAACACAGCGCACTGCGTCCGCTCCATTCAGGGCCTCCTGCAGCGCAGGATTATCGTGCAACCGCAGACATTTACGAAACCAGTGGACTGAATTCACCACCATTCTTATTTGTTATTCCATTGTTATAGTAAAATCCGAAAAAAACAGGCGAAATTAAGCAAAAAGGTTAAAATCACTGACAACTCAACGACTCCCAACAAACTTTACTCACTGTCAAACGAAAACTGACACTCAGGGGCGTGGCCTGTTCTGTGGGCATGGCTATATCTTAGATTGTGTCGGTTTGCTGGTTGGACAGAATTGAAATCGTGAACATGAGTTACAAAACTGGAGATTTGTACTTGGTTGAAGCTGCAGATGCAGGCAGCATCGGTGAGAGGTTGTGTCACCTTTCTGATACAGACCAGCACGGGTGCCTGCAGGGATTTGGGGACCCGTGAAAACAAATATCACCTTGGGCCCCACCGTTTAATTTTGGAAACCATTCCAGCACTAAAACTATAGCACCTTGCAAACATGGATATATATTTTGCTTAGATTTTGATTTTGCTCAAGATTGTTGAGACATGTGCCATTTTCTTTACATTTTATTTTTTTAATGGTAATGTTATTTATTTATTTACTCATTCGTTTCGTTTACAATGATTGGTACCTTATACCAAAATAAAAAAGTAAAAGTTGGGGGGGTTTTTACTCCTTAAATGTGTAAATATAATATTTAGTATTATTTAGGAAATATAATTTTATAATTTTAATAATCCTTTGTATATTAATTTTCAAACAAAGTATAGCCAACTAAAATATGTCCCTGTCCTTAGACCTAGTTAAACTCAAAAGGTTTTAATCTAAATTCCCAAAGGCCCTCCTGCAATTAGACACAGTGTTTGACATAAAAGAGCTCACCTATAACAGCCTGAGCCAGGGGTTTGATCTGTTTGGCCTGGCAGTGGATTGTCAGAGAATTGATTTTGCGTACATATGTAGAAAGGGTCTGTCTGCACCAATTGCATGTTGGCTATATTAACAGAACACATTTTCTGTTAGAAATGAAGTAAGCTAACTGATACTAGTAAATGTCAAACTGTTTCTTTCATGTGGAGCTTGCTATGAGTTTAATTTCCACTGTCTCCCTTTTCTTTTTTGAAACCCAGACTTTACTTTTAAGGTGCCATCCTTACTTTAATGTTCAGCATCAGCACCACTTGGACTAAACCAAATCATGAAATAAGGAGGCGGGAGCAGAGTCAGACTTAATTTATTCTTTGTTGCCAAAAATAAAATGCTAGGAAATCAACACGTTTATAAGTACCATGTGAAGCAAGCATTATCTCATTGTGATAGGCTAATCATTTTCATAAAAAAAAAAAAAAAAAAAAAAAGACTGTACATTCCCTGTCAGGCCTGAGCTCTTAATTTATATTGCTCACTAATACAGGGAGTGCAGAATTATTAGGCAAGTTGTATTTTTGAGGAATAATTTTATTATTGAACAACAACCATGTTCTCAATGAACCCAAAAAACTCATTAATATCAAAGCTGAATGTTTTTGGAAGTAGTTTTTAGTTTTAGCTATTTTAGGGGGATATCTGTGTGTGCAGGTGACTATTACTGTGCATAATTATTAGGCAACTTAACAAAAAACAAATATATACCCATTTCAATTATTTATTTTTACCAGTGACACCAATATAACATCTCCACATTCACAAATATACATTTCTGACATTCAAAAACAAAACAAAAACAAATCAGCGACCAATATAGCCACCTTTCTTTGCAAGGACACTCAAAAGCCTGCCATCCATGGATTCTGTCAGTGTTTTGATCTGTTCACCATCAACATTGCGTGCAGCAGCAACCACAGCCTCCCAGACACTGTTCAGAGAGGTGTACTGTTTTCCCTCCTTGTAAATCTCACATTTGATGATGGACCACAGGTTCTCAATGGGGTTCAGATCAGGTGAACAAGGAGGCCATGTCATTAGTTTTTCTTCTTTTATACCCTTTCTTGCCAGCCACGCTGTGGAGTACTTGGACGCGTGTGATGGAGCATTGTCCTGCATGAAAATCATGTTTTTCTTGAAGGATGCAGACTTCTTCCTGTACCACTGCTTGAAGAAGGTGTCTTCCAGAAACTGGCAGTAGGACTGGGAGTTGAGCTTGACTCCATCCTCAACCCGAAAAGGCCCCACAAGCTCATCTTTGATGATACCAGCCCAAACCAGTACTCCACCTCCACCTTGCTGGCGTCTGAGTCGGACTGGAGCTCTCTGCCCTTTACCAATCCAGCCACGGGCCCATCCATCTGGCCCATCAAGACTCACTCTCATTTCATCAGTCCATAAAACCTTAGAAAAACCAGTCTTGAGATATTTCTTGGCCCAGTCTTGACGTTTCAGCTTGTGTGTCTTGTTCAGTGGTGGTCGTCTTTCAGCCTTTCTTACCTTGGCCATGTCTCTGAGTATTGCACACCTTGTGCTTTTGGGCACTCCAGTGATGTTGCAGCTCTGAAATATGGCCAAACTGGTGGCAAGTGGCATCTTGGCAGCTGCACGCTTGACTTTTCTCAGTTCATGGGCAGTTATTTTGCGCCTTGGTTTTTCCACACGCTTCTTGCGACCCTGTTGACTATTTTGAATGAAACGCTTGATTGTTCGATGATCACGCTTCAGAAGCTTTGCAATTTTGAGACTGCTGCATCCCTCTGCAAGATATCTCACTATTTTTGACTTTTCTGAGCCTGTCAAGTCCTTCTTTTGACCCATTTTGCCAAAGGAAAGGAGTTGCCTAATAATTATGCACACCTGATATAGGGTGTTGATGTCATTAGACCACACCCCTTCTCATTACAGAGATGCACATCACCTAATATGCTTAATTGGTAGTAGGCTTTGAGCCTATACAGCTTGGAGTAAGACAACATGCATGAAGAGGATGATGTGGACAAAATACTCATTTGCCTAATAATTCTGCACTCCCTGTACAGGGTTCAGCAAGTTCAATTAGTTCTATTTCTAGCAGTTGTATAAGACTATCATTGTGGCAAAACATTTAGTGCATGTGTGTATTTTGATTTGTGTGCAGATTTGTGTGTGTAATCAATTTTTAAATGTTTTGAATAAATCGGTAAATCTGTACAGACATTTCTGAATTTTCAAAGGAATCTGTAAATGTGTATTTATAGTTCCAGAACAGCGACACTCAATTTTAGCATTAAAAAAAATGGCATAGAAAAATAAAACAGTTTTACATTTACCGCTTCTTTTTTTTCCTCGCTTTTTGCTCTCAGCAGTTAAGTTTTGGGGCTTTATGGCTGAGCCTTGGCTGTAATGTCACATAATTTGCATCCAACAGATCTAATAGCTGCCCATCTTTACTGAACAACATTGTAATGAATGTTTTGAGTTCAGGTGAGACTCAGAAAGAGCTATTAGGGTTTGTGCTTTTTCTTTGTTATCACTTGGAGGTGGACTGGTTTACAGAAGTCCACTCTTAACTAGATTAGTAGTTGCATTTGACAAACAGCTGCAAGATGAGCTAGATGACCTTCCTGTAGTCCCCTTAGCCCAGGGATGGGCAACTCCAGGCCTCGAGGGCCAGTGTCCCTGCACGTTTTAGATGTGTCTTTGAACCAACACAGCTGATTTAAATGGCTAAATTAGCTCCTCAACGTGTCCTGAAGTTCTCCAGAGGCCTGGTAACGAACTAATCATGTGATTCTGGTGTGTTGACCCAAGGTGAGCTCTAAAACCTGCAGGACCCTCGGGCCTGGAATTGCCCACCGCTGCCTTAGCCTTAAGGAGTTGGTACTGCTGCACAAGCATCATAAAGCTGCCTGTAATTCCCAAGGCTTGAGTCAGACTGTTAAAACATCCTTTGACCTTACCTCTGTGCCCTGCAATTGTGTCCACAGTAAGCTATATATAAGAAACCCTTCAAGGTTTAAATTGCATGGCTCAAATTTTGACATTTGATCATTTCCACAGTTAAGGTTTTTAAAGAAAAAAAAAATAGAAATAATAATAATGTAGTGCCAAGACTGCCGGTTTCTGGAATATTGCCTCAGGAAACATGGCAAAAGGCATCAGAATTGATTTAAACAAGTCAAACCAAAGTCATTTATTGACAAATTTTGAGTCATAAGCAGCAGAGACACAACATTAACACCTGCAAGGTAAAGACAAGTCCATCAACCATCACTAGCTTAAGAAACCCAATTCGAGAGAGATAGTCCCAGATCTTCAGTAGACAATGTGAGGAGCAAACATGTAGCTGGTGTATGGGAATGGCGGCACAGACAAACCAAGAGATTCTGTGGCGGTGTAGCGGGTTTGGGTGAAAGCCGCTCTTCCTTTGTGGTAGCGTGAACGGGAACTTATGGAGTAGACTGGCTCCAGACCATACACGTCACTGAAAACTGGCTCGTTTTCATCATTGTTGATGCCAGATTGAGTGTTAAACTGTGTAGGTCCTGTCTGATACTGACCCGCTGCATATCTGTCCGAACCTCCTCCCGGAGACCCATACTGACCTACTGCAAAGCCAACTGCTGGAGCTCCATACTGACCCACTGTATATCCCAACGAACCAGCTGCTGGAGCATCATACAAGGTATATGGAGGACGGCTCTGTACTCCATAGCCACTACTAGTGCGTTCTGGTGCTTTGTCAAAGTCACTCCCCGTTCCCCTGAATGTATACCAAGGAAGAGTTTGTGGTGTCTCGCTCTGTTCAGTCCCAGCCCTAGAAGAGAAATTAATGGAAGCTAAGACTTAGCCAATACATTTACAGGTTTTTTTTTGTTTTTTTTGTTTGTTTTTTTAAATAAACACAGACGCTAGGACACATTTCCCAATACTTAGGTCACTTTTGCAAAACACTTCACACAATCCTCCTAACTGACCGTTAGCTTGGCAAAGCAGTTCATTTCACATTCAAAATGCACTACAACTACCAAAACACTTTATTCAGGTCTCAAATAAACTCATTCTTCCAGAACACTAGCAAAGGTTGACAGCCGACAAACACACTTTGTCACCCACAAAACAATGACCTAAAAAACACTAACAACATGTAGCATTACACAGTGTTTTCCTGTGTAAAACAAGGACACATCTGTTTATAATTTCAATATATGTTACTGGAATGAATCAGACATCATGCAGAATTCGTTAATATTTGTTTATTTATTTTTTTTGCACTAAGTAATCCCAAAATACAAGAATTTGTATACACACACCATCCAC